CCCCCCCCCCCCCCAATGTTCCCTGTCAGCCCAGGGCTGCTCTGTCCCAGCTCAAATTGCTGCAGTTCTGGGTGGACATGTAGATGCTGTGTCCAAGAGCAGTTGACTCTGGCTCAAACTGCTCTGGAGTTTATGAGACATAAAATTATTCATGAAAATAACTTCCAAACAGTGTGATTCCTGTCTTTGGTGTGAGTGGGTATTTCTGTAAGTGAGATATCATGATTTTTTACTTTGATGCAAATAATTTGTTACAATAAAATTATTGTACATAATATTTAAGGTGGAATAACATTATTGTTGGGACTGGATTTGGCAATCTCTCTCAAAATAAGACACTTGTGATATTGGGAAGCAGAAATGTCCTTGAAGGTATCCATTAAACATGGAATGAACTCACAGGAAACTTAAATTGACCAAATGACACAGGCCCTTCTTGAATATATTATTTTATATCTTTAGGCTTCCTTTAGTCAACTTAAAAACTGAATATTTAAAAAGGTCAAAGTGTTTGGCATATTAGCAGATCAAAAACAGAATAAGAATTCATGTTTCTTAATAGTAACTCATGTCTGTGGACCAACACCAAAAAAAAAAAAAGTATTTGATCAACTGGTATAGTTTTTCAGCTCACAACAGAGAAGAATGCAATTATATTTAAAGCTTGGAAAAAAGACTGGAACAAAGCAAACTACAAATATAATCAATTCACTAGAAATAATATCAACTCTCATGACAAGTAATAATTTGAGTGTGTTATCTGCAGTTGACAATGCACTACTAAGTGAACACATTCACATCCTGCACAAACCAGTGTCATTAGGAAAGGGCATTATAACCACATTTTTTGGTAATATGAAATCCTGGAAGAGAATAAAATTACTCCGAAGAAATGGGATTTAAGTAAAAAATGTGTTGTTATAGTGTTAACACAAACAATACCTTCTAGAGCATCATATTTAACAGAGGTGATATATATTAAATGGAAGAGACCTTGAAGAAAATATGAATGATTTTCAACTAAAGGGTGCAAAAAGCTTCACTCCAATTTAAGACTGTTCTTGTTTTCAGGCAACAACTCCATTAAGAAAAGATCATTGCTAATGCAGTTTTAACTTTAATTTCCTTTGTTTACCAGAGCCCACTAAGGTGTATGTTTTTTCAGACTATTATGCATGGTCTGAAAACTTTCTGTAACCACCCCCCTCAAATAGAACCCATTTTTCTGTTTGTTAATTGTGTTGTGAACAAACTATGTCTTTTTCAGATTTGTTCATTGTTTGTGATTCTTCAAGGCATCTTAGGAAATTTCAGCCTGTGAATTTTGTGAACAATTTGTTTTATTATTTGTTTTTGCTATGTTGTACTTAGTCACATTAGTGACATGGAATAACATTTTCAAATGACTTGGAAGCCTAAGCCTCATTCAAAGCCAGGCCTTGATTATATGAACTTATGCATCAGATGTAAGGAAATAACAGTCTATTTAGGATAATTTACTGGGAAAATGAAGAAGTCTATTACTACGACTAGATTTTCTTTCACTGTGAAACAATGTATTGTTCTACTTGTATTATTCATAGTAGCAACAAAATTTGAATTGTATGAGAGTTTGTGAATAGAAAAAGAAAAGTGTACGAACGTGATGGACCAAATTTGATTTTTATGTCCTTGTAATTCTCCCTGCTTGTCCACTCACATCCCAAACCCTACTATTCACATACTTCTTTTTGCAATACCAATGAGTCAGGATAAGCAGGAACATGCCTCCAGTATTCACAGGTGTCCACCAAAATCCTCCAACCTTCCCTTATACGGACATGTGAATGGTTCGTCTAACTCACCTACTATCCAAACAAGAATTTGTGTTTTGATACCTGAGCTAATGATTCCAAAATGATGGCCTGGTGAAGTCCCCCACAGGTATATTCTGATCTAAATTCAGCAGCATGTCATAACACGTATACGCAAGAGGTGGAACATGAATGCAGAAGAGATGAAAAGCAAGAGTATGAAGAAGTAGAGCTTGTTGGAAACCCTGAAAAAATAAGTTTTTCCTTTAAATTGAAACACTTTTGTGCAATCATATTAAATCCTCTGATTTTTTTTGTCAGAAAAAAAGGATTGTTACAATTTCAGAACCCCAATGGTTTCAAATTTTTCTTTTGGGACAACCTTCTGTTTTATCTTTTTTATTTTGCATGACATATATATCCTATAAAATAGTCAAACTTAAGACAATTTAAATGGTTTTGTTTTGCGGAGAATGATGAATGTGTGGGTGTTCCTTCTAAATTAAAACCAGATTTTGAAATCTTGAAATAATCTCCAAAACAGAACTTTCATTCTCTGCACCCTTCTACTAAGATGGATAATTGCTTTTTATACTGTACCATTAGTGCTTCCCTCACAATCCACCCAGTAAAACAAACAACTTATGCAATGTTTTACTCATACTACTAAAGATGTGACTCAGAAGGGTTTGATTTTGTATTCATCAGGTAGTTGTGACCCAGATTTTTTTTAAAGGATCCAAAGCTGGGGAGGGTGAAAAGGTTTCAGAGACATAGAGATCTAATTTCTTTGAATAAAGTACAAGGAAAGAAACATCCTATGCTATCTAGAAGGGGAAAAACAACTTCTAAACCCACTTCACAGTGTGTAGCTGCCAACACCTGGCAGTGAAATGAACTGCTGAACACAGTAGGTGTAATGAATACATCTATTTGCTTGGTTATCATATGGAAAGTACTCATTGGATGGATATAAAGCTACACATGAAACCCTTTATATAGGAAGCCTACCACATTGAAGCCAAGCAGCTATGGTCATGTCTATGCTAGCTCTCTGCTGAGCCTGGGCTGACTGCCAAGAAACAAATCCCACTCCCTCCTTCCATTTTTGTAGACACCTAAGCCTGATAATTAGATAGGACCTAAGTGCATGCAGTGATGCTGTGATCAGGTGGTCAGTCTCAGGGTATCTGTGAGTGGGGCTTGTTTTTCAGAAATAATCCTAGAATCAGCAGGAGGCATGGTGATTCTTCAAAATCATCCTCTAGGTGGACTGTTCCAGATTCTCCAGAGAAAGGTGTAGGGTGCAACATCAGACAGTCATTATGGCTAAGTACAGAGAATCAAAAAGCCCGAGGCTGAATCAATTCAATCTTTGCAGGTTAGTTTAAACTGAGTAGATTGAAGTGATAAACACGTGAACAGACATTCACTTTTGATTCCAGAAATGCAGCCACATGCCTACAGTGGCCCAGGCCAGAAGCTTGAGGAATGAGGGGCGGGGGGGAAGGATGGACAATAGCATGCCTGCCTGCTTGGCTGGAGCAGACAGCTTGGGCCCAGGCTAGCCCACCCACCCTGTGAGGGGGAAGTTTGCAGGGGAGGTTCAAAGCATCATGGGATGCTGGGGGACTGTGAGTTAATTTAAACCTGGAGGGGATCTGGGACAGAAGTTCAATAAACTGATTTAACCTAAATCAGTTAAATTTGATAGTACATCCAACTAGGTTTTTCTTAAACCAATTTTGGCCATTTTGAAAGTGATTTATGTGCACAGAACTTTTGTTGTTTCACAGATTGGAATTGCTTTCTGATCATCACTTATGCTGGTTTATGTGTAATTTCTATCCCTAACCTATACAATAATTTACCCCTGCACAGGTCTCTGCAAGATTAATATATTAACAAAAAGATACAGAAAAATAGATGAGGAAACCATAACATGCAACATGATTCTTAACTGGATTTTCCTATGTGCACATTATAGTCCTTAGAGGCAATTAAAAAATCAGTGGGTTAGTATGAGAGCAGTGATAAAGAGGGTACAGTTAGTTTGTTAAATGTAATGTTGACATACCAGATGTAATAAAAATTGCAACAACACATCTACAATCCTTCTTATATGCCCTGGATTTTTTTCCAGCTATGTCTTGTTAGGTTATTCTTGATCTTAGACTTTCATTCTTAACAAATAGCATTTTGTAGAGGAACAAAAGCTAAGATACAAGATATGAATAGCTAAGATATAAAAGATGCATGCACATGTATTTTCCGTATATTATGGTAATTAATATGGTATGCTTTTGGAGTGGTGAGAATCATCCAAGGTAGAAGAAGAATCACTGGGCTGATTTTTGTAACTAGGTGAGAAATAGAAAACACTTATGAAAATAAGCAGCTAAAATCACAGCAGAGCAGGGCTCAGTGTGAACAGGTGTTGTGCAAACTTCCTCCTGTACATCTGCCAGTGCACTTTAGCCCTTGTCTGCTGGTTCTTTGCTCGTTCAGTGCCAGTCTCGTTCTCAGAAGAGGCTGCTAATTACACCACTTTGCATAGTGCTGTTGTGAAGTGTAGGAAAATCTACTGTGCAACAGGAGGAGACATGATTGCTTTTCATTTGTGACCTAATCAATATTTTGAACCTGGGTCTCCAGAAATGAATACTACTAATGATTAACAATTGATTAGCCTGATGCATCACCTTTAGATGATTACCAGGAGCAGTGATTGTAATTTGTACCTTAAGATTGCTTATAAAGAAGTCTATTGCATTTTGATGTTTATTTAGGTTTGGGGACCTTTTTTTGGGTGTGTTGCATGGTATTAAAGATATCTATTTTTGTGCACATCTTCAATTCTAAATGATTGATGGGAAGTAGACTGTGTGCTGTGTTTTAATTGACCACAAAAAGTGTTCTGCTCCTTTAAAATTTTTAGTAATCGAAAAATTCCTACTTTCACTTGCCATCTTGCAAATGGTTCATCATCAGCCATGAAGTGCATATTCTCTGTTTCTGTGCTGTTCAGTACAGGAATCTGGCAGTCAATGGCTTTAGAGCTGAGAAAATCTGCTCTTGTGATTTCTTGTTCTCTTGGTATCCATTCACCATTGAGATGCTGCAGCAAAGCAAAAATACAGAAGCCAGATATAAATGAATTCTAGTAGCCTGCATATATTTACATTTCCAATTAATATTATAAAGAATTCCCCTTTGTACAGTTCATTTTTAAAAAAAGAAGTTGTTACTGTAGGTTTAGTAGAGGGCAAACTCTGCTCATCTTACGCACATAAGTAACCCAGGGAGGGCAGAAAGGAATATACCCTGTGTCATGCTACGATGGGCAAGGGAGTACAGGGGAATGGTTCTGAGGTTGCTCCTGCAGCTGTGAACCCAGCATGCGTTCTGATCATCCGGGCGGCAATGGCTGCTGGGTCTCTGAAGCACACAACTACGAGTCTCGTAACTTTGTCTGACAGGCCTCACCTAACTAATGCCACTGCTCAGAGCTTCACGTAAAGCAGGGCTGGATGGTACACGGTAACTGTGAGCCCATGCTTGTGTTAGTTTCTCGGGTGAATCAGAACAAAACTAATTTTGCTTTGTCTGGGGCTTTCTGTAGCTTTGGGCGGGGGTGTGATTCAATTTATTTTTAAGGACTAAACACAGCCCAGGTAAAGAAAGATAAGAAACCATTGAAGCGTGAACCACTAACCCTCAACTTAGTAGTAGTAACATGGTGTGGAAACTGGCTTTGCAGACCTGTTACTCTACCCTGTCATAGGGTAGTAAGGAGGCCCAGAATGAGATGGGGAATGGGCAGGGTCATGACCTGTCTCCTCATCCCTGAGCAGGGTAGCCATACCAGGGTGTCAGCAGTGTATTCTGCACGAGGCTCAGACCTGGCATTATCTGCTTCTTCCCTAGGGCAGCATGGCTACCAGGAGAGGAAGGGGACTGAGCAGCAATCTACCTTCCAGGCTGCTCCAGGAACAGCAGAACAACAGGCCTTTCTTTGTATTCAGGGTCTGTCTAGGTCTAATAGGGCAAGTCTAACGCTAAGTATTTGTTATCTCATTGATGTATTTGCAGTGGGTCAGAAATGTGCTTTCCCCAGATGCTCAGCTCAGTACTCTAGTAGCATTCACTTCCTTCCTAAAGAAATGAATGATGATAAACTCAGTACTTGTATGCTTTGGGGGGGGGGTGTACACACACACACACACACACACACACACACACACACACACACAC